TGACGGTCAATCCCACTATTCGTTGGTAAAAGAGTAGCCCAAGAGTTGGCGGTGGGTGGTGATGACTAGCTGCCTTCCCTCTAGTCTTACACTGCTAAATTAGGGACGGCTAGCGCAGATAGCCCTCGTGTAGCTTTGCGCGAAATTCCAAAACAAACAAACAAATCTTCTGAAAGTGTTAAATGGAGAGATTAATTAATGGGTGCTCTTTAAGACATCACTTTCTTCAGGTTATTTTAAATGACATCCTTACAGTGTTAAATGGAGAGATTAATTAATGGGTGCTCTTTATTGAGTTACTTATTGAGTGTTTTATAAACACAAATATCCTTTCAGATTGCTTTGGCTGAACTACAAAATTAATCAGGGTAGAAGCCTATTTTTGGTACTTTCGTTCAGGAGTATACATATATAATTAGACGGATAGTGGAACAAGAGAAAATCAAAAAGTAGCTACTTAATAGGAATATTTTAAAATATTACTAAATGTTCACCACGGTGAAGAAGTTATATAAATGTCTGAGTGTGAAAAATGTGAAAAAAAATAATATAATATGAACTGTGGTGTGTATTGCATTTGTTTAGACTATACGAAGTATTTTGTTTTTATAATACCAATAGATACAAGAAGTGAAGATCAAGACAAGGATGCTTTCCTCCAAGAAGGCCTGATGATGAAGGATTTTCAACACCCTAATGTTCTTTCCTTGATCGGTGTAGCCTTTGATGTCAACGGTGAACCAATGGTTATTATACCTTACATGAAACATGGCGATTTGCTGTCCTACATACGTGACGAAAATAACGTAAGTTGAAAGTTAGATATTGAAAACGGATAAAATGGGATAGAGATAAAAAAAAAAGAATATACCTAACGTAAACAGGATAAAACATGCTCTTTGCTGTTGTTTGCTTATATCACAATTTGAAGAGTTATTCGGTAATTATTGTCTATTGTAATTTGGTTCGGGGTTACTCTGAATTTAGTAAAATATATGTTAGAACATGTTCACGCATAGTGTGTGTGTGTGTTTATTTATTTTTCAGCAAATTTGAAGCAGACTGGGTGTGGATGTGTGTTTCGTGGTAATAAACATTAAAATCGATATATGTTACTCTGATTCTTAATATTGGTACTTGCTGCGTAATGTTTATATTATACCTTTTCTGCTACATGAAGAACATTTTTCTTATTCCTACATTGGAAAACATTTTAATAGTGCCAATTATTCTTTATTTGTTTTGCCTTTTAGAATTTTTCCCTCAAAGCTTTACAAGAGCTATTTGCGTAATACCGTCCGTGAGTTTGAACAATTAAAACAATAGACTAGAGGAAAGGCAGCTATTCAACAACACCCTCCGCCAACTATTTGACTGCTCTTGTCTGACCAAAAAGTTGGATTTGATCGTTACTGTTATAACAGGATGCGAAACATGAATTCCCTGATTCACAGTCCGAACAAGTTAACCATTAGGTCACGCTTAGCCCATTGTTTTTGTGTCAACTAAAGAAACAAAACTTTTAATAGTTTAAATTTAACCAAAAAAAAAAAGAAAGAACTTGAAATATTACCCAACATCCAAGACGTTATATCAAGGAAGCGAATTACTTTGGTTTATAAGACAAACCTACACATCAAAAAATTATTAAAGAGTTAGATGCTTGCTTGCTTAAAAGTTTGGATTCAACGTTCTAAAAGTTACTGCTAAACTTAAAACATTACTTTTAACGCTTAAAATACAGCTATTTGTTTTTTATTACCTTCATACTTGATATAAATATTTTTAAAGGACAGCTTTTAAATTCGATTTTTTTTCCAAGATAAGAGATACATCATTGTTATAGATAACATAACTTTTAGTATCGTACAGGTTTTTATAATATGGAATTAAGGTTTTGCACCAGTAAGTAAAAATAGATTCAAGGAGATTATATCATATTTTATTTTAGGTGTTCTATAATTTTAATGCCCCCTCCCCCAGTGGCACAGCGGTATGTCTGCAGACTTATAACGCTAGAAATCGGGTTTCGATACCCGTGGTGGGCAGAGCACAGATAGCCCATTGTGTAGCTTTGTGCTTAGTTACAAACAAATAAACTATAGTTTTAATACAATATCCTTATTGAAAATTCTGGCTGGTACCGTCATATATTCTGTTTTTTTTTTTTTGGTGCATTATCCAAATTCTTATTTCTAGTAATTCTTAAAACTATTGGAGAGGTTTATAATCAGTTTATATGCTTTTATAGCAAAATTCTATAGTTTGAGGATTCATCAACGTTAGTGGTGTTAATTCTCCTTAGTTATAGTATTTATAGAAATGGCCCCAACTGGCACAGCGGTATGTCTGCGGACTTACACTGCTACAAACCGGGTTTCGATACTCGTGGTGGGCAGAGTACAGATAGCTCATTGTGTAAATTTGTGCTTAACTACAAAAAAACAAACAAATGTATATATATGGAATAATACATTATGTAATTTTACCATTAGTCCCCAACTGTGAAGGACCTTCTTCAGTATGGAATTCAAATAGCAGATGGAATGAAATATTTGTCTGATCTAAAGTTTGTCCACCGTGATCTTGCTGCACGGAACTGTATGTAAGTATTTTGTTGTTGTTTTGTAGTGGTTTTTTCGTATGATTTGTCAAAGAATTATTTTCTGTGGAATTATTAATGCGAACGCCGTTCAGTTACACCAGAGTGGAATTCTTATGCTTCAGAGCTTGTTCAAACATTTGCTCTTTGCTGTTGTTATTTCATTATTGGAGGGATCAAATGTACATTCTATAATCATATTTAATGCGAAGTCTTTGAAAACCAAAACCATTGAAACGATATAAATGGACAACTAAAGGTGAAGTAGAATTCACCATACAGATTATTGTTAAGCCTAACTCTTAGTTTCAAAAACTCTAAACATTTATAAATACTTTTCATTTTTAAATCAATTTTCAATATATCTTTAATTTTAGTGCGCTCGTTAAGCCTAATACTATTGCGTAACATAAATCAACCTAGTAACCTATAATTCTTAGCTTAGTGGGTTTCGGTAATATTGTGCCTTTCTTAAACTATAATTGAAATACTATTAAAGAACATTACTCAGAGATAAATTCATAACTGTATAGATAATATTATAGTAACTGTATGATCCAAGAATGTAGTATATACAACTCGACAAGTTACATGATAGAGAACATTTCAACGTGTGTATAGAGTTTTTAACTTTAGTATTCAGATGATAATTGCATCGTTGACTTGTCAGTGGAACACTTATCTTTAAAAACTGTTTGATAATTCATTGATAAATAAGCAGAACGAATATTAAACGGATAGAATAAATGATGATCTTGAAGATGTAACTATAAACGTTAAGTGATCGTCAGGATTTCAATTCAGTTAGTTGAAATACCGTAATACCTTATGATGGCTTAAAGAATCGTGAGTTGAAACTAAACATTTGTAGGTTAGACGAAGACTATACAGTGAAAGTTGCTGACTTCGGCCTGTCACGCGACATTTATGAACGAGATTACTACACCAGTGATAACAAGAAAATGAAACTTCCTGTCAAGTGGATGGCACCGGAAAGTTTAGAGAAAGGAATCTACAACACAAAAACTGATATTGTAAGTTATATTAGTTTTCAACAGAACGTAGGTAATTTCAGTTCAAGGTTTTTTTTTCTCACCAATCTTTGCAAAACATGAAAATCCATATCACGTGTGTGAATATATAAAACTTTTTATCAAATTGTTATCATTAGTAGTTATCCATACAAGTGATTTATTTTTATTTTTATAAGTGTACAGATACTAAAGTTGTATTTTTCTTTGGATACTTACTATATTTAATTTGTGTCTTTAATGGATCGGTATAAAGCTGATTAACTATTATCGATATTTAAGAACTATAACGTTTTCTTGTTTTTCAATGATAGAATATAGTATCAAATAATTATTTTCACTAAGTAACAATGCGATTTTTTAAATATTATTAGTAATTATATGCAGTGGCTTCTAATTTTTATCATTAACTAGCATGGATTTTTTATTGTTTCTCATTGATTTTGTGAAATGCCAGTTGTTATCACTAACAGAAAGTTCAATTATCCCTTGTTTTTTATTGAGCGTATGAAATTCTAATTAATTGTTATCACGACGTTCACGGAATTTTTATGTTGTTTTCTAGTGATCTTATGATGTGCCAAGTAACTATGATCACTAACTAACATGGAATTTCTTTGTTTGTTTGTGATCTTATGGTGTGCCAAGTAACTATGATCACTAACTAACATGGGATTTCTTTGTTTGTTTGTGATCTTATGGTGTGCCAAGTAACTATGATCACTAACTAACATGAGATTTCTTTGTTTGTTTGTGATCTTATGATGTGCCAAGTAACTATCATCACTAACTGACACTTTACTTATTCTCTGCGTTTAGTAATTATTTGGTACACCAAGATCAAACCATTGTTCTTATTAATGAGTTACTACAATTGGGTATATTTTTTTAGTGGTCCTATGGAGTGGTACTGTGGGAGTTAATGACTCGTGGAGTTATGCCTTACCCTGATGTGGACAATTGGGATATACTTAATTACCTGAAGACTAGAAGAAGAATGCCACAACCGTCATACTGTCCTGACTTACTGTAAGTATACATTAGGAATATTCAGTGTAAAAGAAAAATTGGTGCTTGAAAATGGTTGACTTTTCTCGGAATATTTTTTTAAAAGCTTAGTAATTTCCTTGTATCGGTTATTCACTAAAGAATCAAATAATTGTACAAGGATAGATGTGAAAGGATCGTAAACTGTATCTACATATAAGTATGACCTTTATTTCTTAACATTTTTTCCATTATAAGTTCTCATACTGGGTAGAACAGAGCCTATGAAGAAATTATTAATGAGTTCAGACAAAATGATGCTTTAGTTTAGATTAATGGTAATCAATGCCCCATTTTTGCAGGACTTCTGTAGATCTGAAATTTGAAACCTGTTTTAGATGTTTTTAACCTAAATGCGAATACAACTATATTTAATTTTAAGAGAGCTTCGTCTGCAATCAACGTCCATTCAAGTTCCATCACTAATAGTAGCTTCAATAATATTTGAGTTTTTGTTTAACAAAATTTAGAATTCACTGTACCCCCCTCACCCATAAACAGGGATCCTATACCTTTCTGGATTTCTAGAAATTAATCACTGATTATAATATTTTCATTTTTTATTCGAAGTAGTCAGCACCAGTGAACGTGGGTGGTTAAATTTTACATTTACTTTTATAATGATTAGCAGACGTATTTCAATTGGTTTTAAATGCCACGCTCTTAAAGTAAGATTTACGTTTTAATTAGCTCTGTTGGTAATTCGCTAAATATATATATAAAAGTAATCCCTATTTGTAGTGAACGTTTTTAGTATTTTATGTAAAATGCCAGTTTTGGGATTCATGATCTAGTAGCTGTATCATATTGTTTTTTGCGATGAGTGTAAAACAAACCGTATAACCTTTATATAGACCACGAGTATAATTTCAGCTTTGTGAAAATTTTATTACTAATAAACTGGAAGCGATACAGTCAATTTTTTGTTTTACACTATATACTAAACCATTTTGGTGAAAACACACTCACTAAAAACGTTTATTGAATTCATTTTACAGAATGATATTCATCATTTATCTGCGTACATAGTGATATACAAACAAATTATCGTTACCATTGCACATTGCAGAATATTTAATTATGTTCATTTTCCTTAATTGCACCTTTAATAAAATTTGATGTTCAAAGAAAGTTTGTTATCGTGATATTAAGCCTTTGATATACATCAGTGGTTTCCAAACTTTTTTCACTGAAGACACCCTAAATAACTTACCTTGATTTGCGTGATACCCCAGCTGCCACAAACAATGTTTATTTTGTAGAGTTTTTTGTGTTTTTAATTATTCTTCGTTTGGTGAAATTCTCGCGACACATCTAGCAAGTTGTCGCGACACACACAGTTTGGAAACCACTGATATACATATACTTTGGTGTAATATATATGTATGCCATGGGGTGTGTTGAGCTGCTCGATATCAGTTCAAAGTATCAATTACCACATCGCAGGGTGAAGTTTGAGGCCAATACTTTGTTACTGACGTTATATATGTTTTATTTTTGGGGTGTGTTGAGCTGCTCGATATCAGTTCAAAGTATCAATTACCACATCGCAGGGCGAAGTTTGAGGCCAATACCTTGTTACTGACGTTATATATGTTTTATTTTTGTCAGGTATGATATCATGAAAAGGTGTTGGTCTGAAGAACCCAAAGATCGACCAAGTTTCAGCGAATTAGTGGAGGAAGTAAGAAATGTCATAACAAAACTGGAGAAAAAACGCAAGCAACAGTTTGTTAGCACAAATGTAACATACGTGAACTACCCTGCGGCAGCAGCAGTTGCCAATGGTAACTAAGAGCTTTAAACATCGATTTTCATGCAAATTCGAGGAATTTGTGAACATTCGCAAAATGCCACAAATCGAACATGTTTATGCTTTAAGTTACTTTAAGGAGTTCTAAGTTTCTTAAAGGCCAGTGTTGTCCAACTGGTAAACCAAATCCAATCCCTCAGGTAACTTTATACTGCCCCAACATAGATTTAGTAAACAAAAATCAATATTACCTCGTTCATTTAAATATTTACGAGTGATAAAAAGCGTATTTGAATTGGAGAAAAAAATGGCCTTCGTGCATTTTAATTGCCTGTTTTCCAGCTCTTCAGTGGTCAACAGTTAAACCATCTAGTTACAAGAGAAAGTACAATATGGACTGGGTTAGTTGCATTCAAGTATGTCTAAAAAATACTTAAACTAATTTCAATTTTTTAGTTAAGTGCATACGAATAAAAATGGTTATTTATGTGAAAGGTAATTTATATTAATTAAAAGTTAAAGACCGACGTATCGTAAAAATCTTCTTTAATTCTGAAACGTATGATGTAAAATAGTTATGTTTTCGATAATGCAGGTGATAAATATTAGCTGAAACAGTATTTACCGATATTAGAAAAAACAAACAAAAAACTCGCTTTGTTTAGCTTACAATATATATATATACAGTGATACCTTTCGGTTTCCTTCACAATACACCTCGTATTTCTCCTGTACTTCATCACATGATAAACAGAATGTATTCTTATTACATTATTATATATTCTTAACATGCACTTATAATTAAGTAATTGTTATTAAAATAAAAAAAGAAAGGAAATGGGTTAATGAATGTAATATGATTTTTGTATTCGATCTTCCATACATTCCATCGGGGAACTTTAGTGATATAATTTTGTATTGAACGTCACGATAAAATGCAAAGTTCATACGACGCACATGGCAATAAAATTTATTTCTTAACACCTTCGATTTTTCTTTCCTGAGACCAGTGGTTAAAGGGACAATATGGGGGAAGGGGTAGGGATGGGGGTAGTCCCTAACTCATTAGGTCATTCGTCGTAGAAAACTTTAAAATATCAACTAACCAGAACAACATTTTTTTTAAAGTAAATATTGTGTATTATAGAAGAAAAATGGACTATCGGTTTTGACGACAAACAGACCTTGGACGACTTCGCGTGAAAACGAAAAAGGTTGACTATACCCATCTCTCCAAAATCCTTGTAATTGTGCAGCAGTTTCGATTCTCTTTATTCCATATAGCTCCGGGGACTTTTCTTAGCTGGAGGCTGGACTCTGGGTCCACCATCATTTAAACCATTGTATAAAACATTATATTTATATATATTTTGATCTCGCAAACATTTTGTCTTTGAAATAGTTGGTCATGTACAACAAGGTGTTTACAAGTCTTACTGCTGGACAGTTAAAACTTAAAAAAAATAAAATATGGATAACATTTAAAGTCGTAAAAAGTTGTGAAATGCTGTTGTTTCAATCTCTAGTTTTTATTTTATTACACAACTGTCGTGTTACCGTTACATAAATTGCCGACTAAATATGGCAAGTTTATTTTGTAATCTAACAAAGTATTTTTAGAATTTATTAATCTATTGTTTACTTTTTCCCGACATTATAAGAGAATGATTTCAAATATGAAAAGAAATTTCAAACGCAAAAGTTTGCCAAACGTGCAACGAAGATATTCTTACAACATATGTCACTTGTACTATTGTAACAGTTATTGCGCATGACGTGCATCAATGCTGTCATACACTCGTCAATAACAATGTAAAGTTACGTCATAATTTGCTAGGAGAACATCCACTTATCTACGAAAGTTTTGATATCCGAGACGTATTCAGAATTTTCACAGAAGTATTAGTTAGTTTGTTTGTTTGTAATTAAGCACAAAGCTGCACAATGGGCTATCTGTGCTCTGTCCACCACAAGTATCGAAACCTGGATTCTAGCGTTGTAAGTCCGCAGACATTCCGCTGTGCCACTGGGAGGCAGAAGTATTAGTAGATTGACAAGTTTAGCATCAGTGAATTTAAAAATTGTTCTGATATTTAAATTATGACAAAGTTAATTATTTGTATACGTTACACTGTCAGTTCACCGACAAGGTTATATATATATATATATATATAGAGAGAGAGAGAGAGAGAGTCATAAGTATGTAACTCAACCTGAAATGCTTGGCTTGTGTCAGAGAGAGGGGGGGGGGTGGAAGAAGCAAGGAAAACTGTGGTTGTTTCTAGACTCATATGGTTATACTTCAGACTTAAATAATCTAAGTAATTTAAAACTTTTTAACTTAGTTTCAAATATTTCAGATTGTTGTTTTAACGGCTGTATTTTCTTTGTAGCAGTTACGAAAATATTATTTGTGCTTGAGAACTTTACATGACATTTTACAAAGTCTGTTTCACTTTGGCTTACTTACATAAATTTGCAAAAAAGTTTTACAGACGTTTATTTAAAAAAAACTGAAATTTTATAGAACTTTTCTGTGTTAACAAATGTATGATGAATGTTGTATTAGCAATTATGAAAACCTTGTTCAAGGGAGTTATAGAAAAGCTGAGTGATTTAACTGGCAAATTAATTTACAGTAATTGAGTTTTTTAAGTTAACTAGAAATAAGGGAGGGAGTGTGTAATGTAATATACGATATACATTATAATCTTATATATATATTGCGAACCGTGGTGTCTGTCCGAGCGTCTGTCTGTCTGTCGTTTGAAAAGCTGAAGCTGCGTATGCAGACAAATCTCAACATTCACTTTTGAAATGACGGGAGAACTGGCATGAATAATGTTGACGCCAAATTTTATTTTGCAAGCATGATATTCTTCATTAAATTGTTAGGAATTAATCACACTATCATTCACGTTTTGAAAAGTGACGTAACTTTAAAGAATAAAAATGTAGATTTACCGTATGTTATTGTTGAGCAGCTCTTTTCATCACTGAAAAATGCTCAACAATTACTTTTCGCAATGGGCGGTATAAGTTGCTCAGAGCTTCGGCTCTGAATGAAACCAAGAGTGCAACACAATTAACCTTTTTAAAGTCCATGAGGTAATTTAAATTGATAGATTAACTTAAACTTTCGCGTCACTGGGGACGGGCACTTTTGATTTGTTTGTTTGTTTGTAATTAAGC